GGTCTTCCTCAGCAAAAAAAGGAGGATTAACATGGATGTTAGCTCAGGGCTGATCTTCCTCACAAAAAAATAAATAAATAAAAATTAAAAAAAAGAAAATCTTACTCATTTTTGGTCCATGGGATGTGTTTTATGAAATAGCCAGATGCTGTGAACTACCTGTTTTTTATCTAGGGTTTACCACTTAATTATCTCTTATGTGCCAGCCATGATGCTGAATTCTATTTTCAACAGTGTAATGAGAAGAGAGTAATTAAGATTATGGCCATTGGCCTCTAAAGGCTCATTTCCTAAAGCCCAACTCTGAGGTTTCCATGTAGAATTTTTTTGGCTAGGTGTTAGGTGTTTCCAGATACCCTTCTGGCTAACTGGTATACATATCCATAGCTTCATAAATAGTATTAACCTGCTCTTACATGAGTTACGTAAGGCAAGGGAAAATGTAAGAAATTTTATCTAACTGGACCAAAATGAGGTAGTGCTAAGGTACATAAGTCAACTCCTAGCCTAAATTAGGTTAATTAGCTGAGAAATTATATGAAAGCACTTAGTCTGGTCACTGGCTTCTGGTATATACCCTAATACATGTTGAGATTCTCTTAAGCATGATAGGGGCATAAGATTTTAGTTAACCTGAGTTTTCTAGCTAATTGCAGATCAAAATCCCTCATGCCCCAAATTGAGAGATATACTTAAAAATGTTTTATAAATTAAATTCCTGAAAGCCAATAAAGTAAGATTATTTCCACACAGACAGCTACAGATTAAGATCCTTTTCAGAACAAGAAGTTTTAACTTTTCCTTTCACTAGAAATGATGGAGGACAGGTATCTCAAATGTTGACATTTTAACATATTACATATATCTCCACTATTTCATAGATAAGAGTTGAGCTAAAAACAAACCCAGTAGAGTGAGTGGTTTAGTTCTTTTTTGACATATTTTGCAGATAGAATTTCAGCACTGAAAGAGAAATTTCTAACCTTTCATCCCAATTACTAATTAAATATGTAAAATCTTCCAAAACCTTTAAGAAAACAGCTGTTTGCATGATATGGTTCTTCGTTTTGTTTTAGAGATTTTTGGACTCATGTAGGATTTAACAAATTTTATCTTATTAGATTTGGCCCATTCTACTTCGTGTGTGTGTTTTGCTTTCGTTTGTTTTATAACTTTGAACTACTTAGAAATCTATCCTGTTATGTGGTGGGAGTGACAAAAACCTCATTATGCAGGAGGCCTGGATTCTAAATCCGTCTCTGTCACTAGCTAGCCTCAGATAAGTCCACTCTTTGGGCCTCAGTCTCGTGAAATTTGAAATTGGAATAGGTAATCTCTAGGTAACCTCTTAAAGCCTGATCTTATTCTGAATTTCTGCATTTATATGATTCTAAAAATGGTGAATGGGTTCTGGGTTTTGGAATTTTGGTTTTATGTGCACGCCTGTTTTTACATTATTGCAAAGGAAAAGGTTTGATTCAGACTTTATAGAAGCAGCCCCTGTTTTCCCCATAAGGTTTTGTTATGTTATCCAGAAAAGAAGATAACATGCAATTTGACTTAAAATAGTTATATTTTGTTAAAACAAAAGCTCTTAAAATGAAATAGAAAAGAAAAACTAAAGTGATCTAATAAAGAGACTAGTTTAATTACTTGCAGAACCAGAGATTTAGGGGGAAACATTCCACCTATATTTATGATAGATTTTAAGCTGTCAATCAATTGCTTCCTTAATACGTACATTGGAACAGAGTGCTTTTGTAGAATATTATCAAGTATAATGTTAGAAATCAGAAAAAAAAATACTCAAAATCAGAAAGCATTCTCCTAGCAGACTATAATATTTGAAATTGCCTCTATAATACTTATGCAGTTCTAGCTGTCAGCCCACGAATAATGAATCATGTAAGAAGGATTTAAATGGGAAATTGCATTTATCAAAGAATTAGAACTATTTTCCTATAAAAATATTCTGAAAAAGTTAAAAATTTTTAGACAGGAAAGGTATATTTAATGTAGGAGAGATGCAGGAAGATGAAATTTGTAAAAGGTGTAAGTAGAGGTTAATATGTACTATTCACCAAAACCTAAAATATTGAGATGATAAGTATTTGGAAAAAGGATAAGTAGAAGATTACATATGCGGTTGAACTCGCTCAGAAGGCGGATAGTTCAGGCTACAGTGCATACAGTCCAAAAGGAGTCAGTGAAATAAATAAGAAAAGAAACACCATTCTGAGTCAGACTAATGAAAGAGGTTATCTCTGTGTTGTGTCTTTGAGTAGCAATGTTTAGTGGGAGAGCATGTTATATTCTGTGTGATCATACCTAGCAGTTTTCATTTGTTTATTGTTTCATATACTCCACCTTATTTCAGAAAGGCTTTAAGGGATTGATTTCACTTTGTGGATGATCCACAGTAAGAAAAAGGGCAGGTATTTGAGATACATCCTTTACATGTCATGGTTTGATTTTATTGTCAACCATCAGATACCACGTATTACAAGCATTTTTAGAACATGCTACTTTAATTAATTAAAATTAATACAAGTTGTATTTCATAAAAGTGAATTTTGGAGATAACCGAAACTTAAAAGCACAGTTTTCTTTTAGCAAGTTTTGATGGAAATCTTCTCTAAAGTGGATTTCAATATTCATGTCAGTTTTTTCCTTTGTAATTTAAAAGTTCATGCTTATTATAGAAAATTGGAAAATATAGATAAGCAAAAAAGAAAATCACTCATAATCCATCACCAAAAGATAATCACAGTTAACATTTTAATGTTTATCCCTTCTAGACTTTGGACACACAAATTTGTATTGAAAATAAAATCATAGGGTACTGTATTCTTCTGTTTGTCCTTTTAAACAGTGTTTAGAAAAATTAACGCATATCTGTCTTTTAATACCTCAGAGTCATCAGTATGAAAAGCAGTTATTGTGGTGTTTTGTCATTTAGTTATATCTTTGGGGGCCACAAGAACATGTAAAACTCGACTCCAAATGGCCCTAGATTATTATATTTTATGAGTTCTTTTTTTTTTTTTTTTTTTTTTTTTTTTTTTTTTTTT